GTAACCATCTTCTTTAAATGTTAAACTCAAATTGTCATGTTTGTTATGCTTGTACTTTACCACCTCATTCTTTCTTTAATTCTTTGCGGTCTTTTTCCTATAGCTTTCACCAAACTTGGATTATCAGGGCTGCATATGGGTGGTTAAAATCAAATGAAATTGAAAATTCAGTTCCTTAGGTTCACTAGCCATAATTTGAGTGGCTGATGGCTACCATATTGGACCACACTAATATAGAATATCTCCAATGTGTAGAAAGTTCTGTTATATAGCACTACTTTGGAAAGTCACTAGAATATAAACTTGAGAGACTTTATACTTTGTTCATTGTTGTACTCCTAACATAAACAAGCTGAATGAATGTTTGTTAAATGATGAGAAAATAAATAGATGGATGAATGGAAGGTCAGCACATTTGTTCTCAGATCACATCTGGTCTCAGATGAAGTGTGCATATATACTCTTGAGTTGAGAAAGGGTGTTTTTGGTCTGATGTCTGATTTTTATTCTGGAATATAAAGCTCTTTAATTATAGTTGACATACAATATTAGTTTCAAGTATATAACATAGTGAGATTTTGCATTTATACACCTCACACAGTGATGTGCACAAAAAGGTCTACTATCCATCTGTCATTGTACAAAGTTATTGTGATATTATTGACACTATTCCCTATGCTGTACTTCATATCCCTGTGACTTATTTATGTTATAGCTATAAGTTTGTATCCCTTAATCCCCTTCACCTTTTTTTCCATATTCCCAGGGTCACCCAACCCTCTAGCAACTATCAGTTCTCCTGTATCTATGATTGTTTGTTTTGTTGGTTCATTTGTTTAGTTTTTTTAGATTCCACACATAAGTGAAATGATACAGTATTTGTCTTCCTCTGATTGATTTCACTTAACATAATAAACTCTAGGTCTCTCCATGATGTCGCAATTGGCAAGGTTTCATTCTTTTTCATGGCTGACTAATATTCATGTGTGTGTATGTATGTATGTGTGTATGTAGTACTATTTACATATGTATCTCTACCTCTTCTTTTCCTCCTCCTCCTCCTCCTCTTCTTCTTCTTCTTCTTCTTCTTCTTCTTCTTCTTCTTCTTCTTCTTCCTTCTTCTTCCTTCTTCTTCTTCTTCTTCTTCTTCTTCTTCTTCTTCTTCTTCTTCTTCTTCTTCTTCTTCTTCTTCTTCCTTCTTCTTTCTTCTTCTTTCTTCTTCTTCCTTCTTCTTCTTCTTTCTTCTTCTTTTTGAGAACAAAGTTTTTATTCACTCCAAGAAAGGAGCAGGGCATGGTGTGGAGAGATACACCAGCCTCCACCACTTCTGTGTCCATTCATCTATTGACGAACACCTAGATTGCTTCCATAGCTTGACTGTTGTAAAAACGCTGCAGTGAGACTTCCGGCCAAGATGGAGACGTAGGTAGATACACTTTGCCTGCTCACACAACTAAAAGAAAGACAACAACAAATTCAAAAACAAAAAAATAACCAGAACTTCCAGAAAATCAAACTATATGGGAGTCTGACACCAAGGAGCTAAAGAAGAAACATTCATCCAGCCCAGTAGGGGGGGCAGAGACGGGCAGGCAGGGCGGAGAGGACGCACGGCAAGGCGGCGGCTGGCAGACCGGGTGGTCCCACGTTTGTGTGCCGATAAACCGGGATGAACAGCTGGGGAGCAAGACAGACCGCACAACCCAGGGTTCCAGTGCGGGGGGGTGGGGGGAGAGGAAGAAAGCCTCAAAACTTCTGGCTGTAAAATCCTGTGGGGGATACAGCAGAGGGAGAAACTCCCGGCCTCACAGGCGAGTTCGTTGGAGAGACCCACAGGGTCCTAGAATGTACACAAAACCACCCATCCGAGAATCAGCACTAGAAGGGCCCAATTTGCTTGTGGGTAGCAAGGGGAAGTGACGGAAAGCGGGGGGAGAGCCAAGCAAGCAGCATTGTTCCCTCTCGGACCCCTCCCCCACAGACAGCATCACAACTCAGTGACCTGGGTTGCCGCGCCCTGGCAAATACCTAAGGCTCGGGCCCTCCCAACAATTTCCAAGGCGCCCCGAGACAAAGAAATAAGGCCCAAATGAAACAACAGATCAAAGCTCCAAAAGTAGAACTAAGCGATGAAGAGATAGCCAACCTGTCAGATGCACAGTTCAAAACACTGGTAATCTGGATGCTCACAGAAATGGTTGAGTGTGATCGCAAAATGGAGGAAAAAGCGAAGGCTATGCAAAATGAAATAAAGAAAAGTACACAGAGAACCAACAGTAAAGGGAAGGAAACGGGCACTCAGATCAACGATTGGGAGCAGAAGGGAGAGAGAAACATTGAACCACAACAGAATGAAGAAACACGAATTCAATAAATGAGGAGACTTAGGAACCTCTGGGACATCTTTAAATGATCCAACATCCGGATCATAGGGGTGCCAGAAAGAGAAGAGGAAAAACAAGAAATTGAAAACTTATTTGAAAAAATAATGGAGAACTTCCCCAATCTGGCCAAGGAAATAGACTTCCAGGAGAACCAGGAAGCTCAGAGAATCCCGAAGAAGTTGGGCCCAAGGAAGCACACACCAAGGCACATCCTAATTACATTACCCAAGATTAAAGATAAGGAGAGAATCTTAAAAGCAGCAGGAGGAAAGAAGACCGTTACCTACAAAGGAGTTCCCATAAGACTCTCAGCTCATTTCTCCAAAGAAACCTTGCAGGCAAGGACGGGCTGGCAAGAAGTATTCAAAGTTATGAAAGGCAAGGATCTACAACCCATATTACTCTATCCAGCAAAGCTATCATTTAGAATGGAAGGGTCGATAAAGTGCTTCCCAGAGAAGGTCAAGTTAAAGGAGTTCATCATCACCAAGCTCTTATTATATGGCATGTTAAAGGGACTTATCTAAGAAAAAGATGATGATCAAAAACTGTGAACAGTAAAACATAGATGAGGGAGAGGGGGAAGAATAGGAAGAAAGCTATGAGGAATAAGCAGCATAAATAGTAGTACAAAATTGGCAGGGGAAGGTTAAAAATAGTATAGGAAATGGAGAAGCCAAAGAACTAATATGTACAACCCACAGATATGAACTAAGGGGAGGGGAAATACTGGAGGCAGGGGGTGGTGTAAGGTGGAGGGGAATAAAGGGGAGGAAATAATGGGACAACTGTAATAGTATAATCAGTAAAATATGTTTTTGAAAAAACACTGCAGTGAACATAGGGGTGCATATATCTTTTTGAATTAGTGTATTTGGTTTCTTCAGATATGCACCAGAAGTGGAATATTTGGGTCCTTCTTTGTCTCCTGTTATAGCCTTTGTTTTAGAGTCTGTTTTGTTTGATACAAGTATTGCTATCCCAGCTTTTTGTTTGTAAGTTTTCCATCCCTTTAATTTCAGTCTGTGTGTGTCTTTCAATCTGAAGTGTCTCATGTAGGCAGTAAATATTGTAAGGGTCTTTTTTTTTTTTTATCCATTCAGTTATTTTTTCCAATAGAGCACTTAGTTTACATTTAAGTAATTGATAAAAATGTACTTGTGGCCATTTAAATTATTTTTATACCAAATTTTTATGTGGTTGGTCTACTGTCTTTACTGTCTATTTACCCTTCACTAGTGGATTTTTTTCCCTTTTATATATTTTCTTATTTCTAATTTTGGCCTTTTCTTTTCCATTTAAAGAACCTTTAACATTTCTTGTAATGCTGGTTTAGAGGTGATGAACTTTAGCTTTTGCTTGTCTATGGGCTCACTCGTGTGCAGATCAAGTCTTCAGTGTGGCTGGCTATGAGGCTCCACCCTGCAGTTGCAGACACTGCTGTGTGCTAGTGCCTACTGAGGCTGCCTCCTGGGCATGGCAGGGCAGGAGCTGCTTTAGAGGGGTTCTAGCCTGGGAGAGGTCCTCAGGACAATGCCAGGGTGGGTGGGGTGTACAGTGTTAGCAAGATTAATGGATAGTGCTAGAAATGGCACCTGCCAGCACCTCTGACTCAGGAGAAAGTTCAGTACATTCCTGTTCCTCCAGTACACACCCTACAATTTGTCAATGTATCTAGGTGCTTTTCAAACTGCTGCCTCTTTGCCAAGACTCAAGAGTGCAACCTGGGTTTCCTACAGCCCTTTGGCTCTCCCAGACATAAGCCCCACTGGTTTTCAAAGCCAGATGTTAATGGGAGTTCCTCTTCCTGGTGCAGGTACCCCAGGCTAGGACTCGGACCCCTCGCTCCTTGGGGACAACCTCCATGGTTTTGTGATATCCCTCCCACTTGTGAGTCACCGCATGGGAGAGTGGGGGATATGGTAGGTCCTGACTAGACTTAGTCTCTACCCCTCCTACCCTGAAAGGTTCAGTGTGGCTTTTTCTTTTTATCCCTAGGTGTAGAAAATCTGTTCTGCAAGTCTTCAGATCACTCTCAGAGATCACACTATTCTACATGTAGTTGTAGTTTCATTGTTAATGAGAGGCTGTGAGCTCAGGATCTTCATAGTCCATCATTTTGACCTCGAAGCCAGGAGCCTTGCTCTTGAATGCCAATTTAGCTTGTCCATGAACTGTCATTTCTTGTGGTTGGGTGCACTGCCCCCACAAAAAATACGAGCTTGTTGTGTTTGGAGAAAGGAGACTGGCTAGAACAGAAAGAAGACTGATGATTTGAGATCAACATAAAGATTTGGTAGTTTGACCCCTATAGGCAGTGTTAAACCTTGTAAATTTTATTTAGAAATGTTTGTGGCACAGCCATAATGTGATCTGATTTGGATGTCTTTTTTTGAGCTATTTCATTTTATTAGCTTTTTGAGAGTTTAATAAGGTGGTAGATATGACAGTTTTTAAACCTGCGTGTTTGAGTAAGTAAACTGCTTGAAATCCATATTATTCATTTACTTAATTTATACTATTAGCACTAGCATCCTTGTTTTTATGTTTGTTTTAATAATTGTCCACTTATAAGCAGGAACTTATAGACAAGAACTTGTTTTTGTTTTTTTCCAGTGAAGGTGGTGTTTTTAAGGCTCATCTCACTTTCCCAAAAGATTATCCCCTCCGGCCTCCTAAAATGAAATTCATTACAGAAATCTGGCACCCAAATGGTAAGTTTAACTAGTTTTACTCTTATATTTACAAATGTGATGGCCTGTGACTGAAAATTTCAAGGTCATTAAAAAGATGTAGTTCTCAATGAAATTGCTTTGGGATTTTTGCACTAAGTTCATTGCGTTTGTTATGTGCATGGCCATGCATTCGATTCTTTAGATGAGAAAGAGTAACAGAGATCATGTGGAAAAAATAGCTTTGTATTTATTTACTTAGTTATCAGCTCTTTGAGTCTCATAATGTGGCTTATGATGTTCCCAACTAGAGGCAAGTTTGGTGGGTGATATGATATTCACTATCAGTAGAGCTATTATAATTGAGGACATAATTCCTTTTTTAAATTATTTTTAAAGAGAGGGGGAGGAACATCAACATGTGAGAAAAACATCGATCAGCTGCCCTTCACAGGCCCCCATCCGGGGACCTGTGAACTGATCTAGGCAGGTGCCCTGACCAGGAATTGAACCGGTCAACTTTCAGTTTACAGGCTGGTGTTTGGTCCACAGAGTCACACCAGCCAGGATGAGAACATAATTTCAAAGGTATTATTAGGTACCTCATTACAAAGAGCACAGAAGTAATTAAACTTGGATTGTTTCATTATATTTTTTTCATCTTAGCTCTTAGACCTTTTAATCTATATCCTTAACTATAAAATAGGGAATGTCCTACCTTCCTCATAAGGTGGCTGAGACTGTCAAATGAGATAAAGTACTGTATTTTTTAACCTGTGGAAAGCATCCAATACTGCTGTTCATGAAATAGAGACATTGACTTTTTTACCCAAGGACGTGCAGCCATTTAAAATCTACTTTGTGAGGCAAAGTTTAGGCTAGATAAGCCATGTTTATTATACACAGTCTTGTTGAACTTTTGGCCTTGTTTGATATGCCTTTACAAGGATTTCTTTTCTAAGTATATTGACTCTCAGTATTTTGTAATCAGCTGTCTCTCTTTTTTTTTTTTTTTAAAGATTTTATTTATTTATTTTCTTAGAGAGAAGGGAAGGGAGTGAGAAAGAGGGAGATAAACAATGATTGGTTGCTTCTCGCATACTCCCCTTCTGGGGATGAAACCCACAACCCAGGCATGTGCACTGATCAGGAATCAAACCTGTGACCTTTTTGCTTTGTGAAACAATGACAGCTGAGCCACACCAGGCAGGGCTCAGCTGTCTTTTTATACTACTGTATAATCTGCATTTTGTTTCTCATAGTCACCTTCTTTTAATTGCAAGGAAGAAAACCTTTAAACAAAAGTTGGTCAGAATAATGGATTATTGAATAAAGTAAGGCATTATTATTGCATTGAAAGGGAGTATATATTACAACCCAATGGCTTGAAAAACAGACAGGTCTTATGAGAGACTAGAACTGGCAAATGGAAAACTATTGGGAACTGAGGGAACACACCATATTTCAATGCATCTAAGATAGCAGTGATTACAAAAGACATACAGTTATTTTTGTTGGGAAGGAAGAAAAACATCTAACAATTTAAATAAGGGAGAAAAATGTCTTCTAACAATTTATTTGTGGGAGAATCCATTAACAAATAGTCCTACATGAAGTATGGATGCACAAATTAAAGACATTCACCTCTTTGAAATTTCTTTCACTTATTCCTAGCCTTTTGGCAGTTTTTCCTGCTTCATTTAAATTACTTAATGTGTAACAGGCAATCTCTTTACACCTATTTTAAAAGAAGATGTAAGCCGTGGCTGGTGTGGTTCAGTAGATGGAGCGCCGGTCTGCAAACCGAAAGGTCGCCAGTGCCATTCCGAGTCAGGGCACACGCTTGGGTTGTGGGCCAGGTCCCACTGGTTGGGAGCGTGCGAGAGGCAACCAATCTATGTTTCTCTCACACATTGATGTTTCTCTCCTTCTCTTTCTCCCTTCCTTCCCTTGTCTAAAAATAAATAAATAAAATCTTTAAAAGGATATATGACAAAGCTTCTGACTATTGCTATACTAGACTAGCTGTGTAACTCTGGATAAAGCCTCTTTCAGGCTTAGTTTCTCTGTCTGTGAGAATTAAATGACAGCGCATATGTATGCAATACGTGACACTTTTTTTTTTTTTGCTAAGAGGATAGAAATGGCATAGGTAGGTTAAGAGGGTAACTGATGAAATGAAGTGATTTTTTGTTTTTTTAAGGTTGAGACCTTTTTGTTTTGTAGGCCGTAAAGGAGAATGCCTGAGAAAGTGAGTAATTAAGACTTGATTTGACAGAGGCGATACTTTGTGATGAAAGGATAACTGAGACGGAGATGGGACAAGGATGGCGAGTACAGGATGAGCTGGACTAGGAAAAGAGTGAAAAGTCATTTTGAAATAAGAATGAGAGGAAAAACGAGCATTTGAATATCTGCTAGGGACTGGAGATACAAAGTTGATTAGTGAGTTATGGTCTCTTTCCATAAGGATATTGTGGTCTATATAAAGCAAAGTTGGACATGTAAATTTAATGGTGAAACTGAGAGATTATAGTCATAGTTTATAAGGCATGGGTGGCACTGAAGAGGAAGTTAGAGAATAGGATTCTTGAACAGAAATTTGAATATGTAAATACCTGCCTTGAACTTTGTTCTTTAGAGGCTATGGAGCTCGTTAAATTAAAGTTTTATAGTAGATTTATTGTGACTGTATTTTCTTCTAGAAAGATTATACTCAAGGAGGAAAGATTGGAAGGTGAAGGCTGACTGATAGCCAGGAGGTAGATGAGGATTTTTTCAGTGGTTCCAGTAAGAGACAATGAAAGTTTGAGCTAGGAGTACTGGCAGGAAGGAGTATTTAGTTACTCTTGTTGACTACCAGATGTGGGCAGTAATGGAGAGGTAAGAATTTAGAATAGATGGACCATTTACCAAATAATTGTAGAATCAAAACCACCGCAAAGTAACACATTATACCCACTGCAATGGCAATAATGAAAAAGACAGGTAATAAGTGTTGGTGAGAACATAGAGAAATTACAGCTTTCATACACTGTTCGCAAGAATGTGAAATGGTACAGCGGCTTTGGAAAACAATCTGGCACTTCTTCAAATGGTTAAACCTAGTTACCTGATAATCCAGCAGTTCCATTCCTAGGTAACCAACAGTCTTGAAAACATATGTCCACAAAGTACTTGCATGTGAATGTTCATAGCAGCATTAGATACAGCCAGAAAAGTAGAAACAACGCAAATGTTTATCAGTTGATGAACAGGAAAACAAAACATAATATCCATATTATGGTATGAAATACTGACATATCTACAATATGAATGAACCTTGAAAACATATTAAGTGAACAAAGCCATTCACAAAAGATCACATAATATATAATTCAAATTATGTGAAATGTTTAGTATAGGCAAGTCCGTAGAGATAGAAAGTACATCTGTGGTTGCCTAGGGCTTTGTGAGGAAGGTTGGGGGGAGATGGGGAATGATTCCTAATGTGTACAAGGTTTCTTTCTGGGGTGATGAGTAGTATGTTCTAAAATTGATTATGGTGATAGTTGTACAACTCTATAAACATACTACAAACCATTAAATTCTGCACTTCAAATACATGAATTATATCTCAGTAAGACTGTTATAAAAATTAGGGTAAAGATTAGCTTTGTGTAGCTTAAATGCATTCAATTTTTGACTTGTTTGCCTTGAGGTATACTTGCCATATATCCAGTTAGATAATTAGATACAGCTAGTCCAAGGCTCAGCAGCGAGCTCAGGGCCTTGGAAGTTATTGGCATCAAGATGACAGGTTATGTGTTAATTACATTTCAATAAAACTGGGAGGTGGGGAGGAAGATGGGTAACATCGTGATAGAACCAATGAGTTAATTTACCCGGGGAATAGAGAATTTATATGGGAGATAAGGATAACATCAAAAGTTAGATCATGGGAAAAGGAAACTAGAAAGTAAGTGAGAGAATAGTCCAAGAACCAAGGAAAAGAAGTGTGTCACAGAAACTAAAGGAGGAAAATGTGTCCTGGAAGGTGTCTTCAACAGTATCAGTTGTGTTGGCCCGGAAGAGTTGACTTTAGAAGAACTCAGCAGAAAATGTTCTTAGACTACTTTGTGAGAACAGTTATAGCATCCTGATAGGGGGCAGTAGCCAGTTTCCATAAGGAAAAGAGGGTACCCAGGTAGTGAATAAATAGAGAAGATGAGAGATTGGACTTTCATTAATTTTAGATGGACAGCTTTAAGAACTAGATTGCTTAAAGGGTTAGTATGGTTCAGATAGTTTAGTTTTAAGATGGAAGAAGAGATATATTTTCTGTTCAGTAATTGATGCCTGGGGAAAGCTATTTATGGGGAAATTTATTTAGAAATTTTCTTCACAACAAATAGCAAAGTGAGTTAAAACTCTAAATGGAATAAAAAGTTTCAAGTGATAAAAAAATAGGATTATTTGCTGGGTGTAAGGGATAAGAATTTTCTAGTTTCCAAAGCAATAAATATTGAAAGACTAAAAAGAGGAGTCTGTGAAGAGAAATGGCAACTAAATGCAGTACAGGATTCTTAAATGGATCTTGTGTCAGATAATAAAGCCAGCTATAAAGAACATTATTGAGGCATTGCAATGAAAGGGAAAAGTAATAGGCAAAAATTAAATGGGGAAAATTAAGAAGCAGTTAGGCAAGTAAAAACTAAACATCCGAGTACGTAAATGGTAAAAGATAAGAACAGGAGTTTCACAAAAGAGGAAGTACGTATAGGTTTGTTTTCTCACTCTTAACTTTTTTGTTCTTTCCTTTGATGACTTTTTTTTTACTTTTCTTGCCTTTCAGTAAATTTTTTAAATTTTATTTTTCAATTATAGTTCGATTCTCTCTAAAAATAAATAAATAATCTAAAAAAATGTTAGACTTGAGGTAGGAAGTTCAGATTGAAATATACATAAATATTGCCATTGGTTATTTAGGGGATTTTGACATTTGGTTGAAAATTGTTTTTGTCTTTTCTAATATTTCCACAGTTCCAGTATTTCCACAGTAAGTATGCTTTCTTTTGCAGTGGAGAAAATTTCACCATAAAAGATTAGTGAGCCCTGACTGGTGTGACTCAGTTGGTTGGGTGTGTCGTTCCTCAAAGTGAAGGGTCAGTTGCTGGTTCAGTTCCCATTCAGGGCACCTGCCTGGGTTGTGGGTTTGGTCCCTGATTGGGGGTGCATATGAGAGGCAAGATCAGTGTTTCTCTCTAATTCATGTTTCTCTCCCTCTCATTCTCCCTCCCTTCCCGTCTATCTAAAAATGGATAAATAAAATCCTTTTAAAAAAATTAGTGAATTTTTGATAGTTTCACTAATATGTGATTTAAATGAGTTAGTAAATTAGAGCTTCACTTTTTTTTCTTTTGCCCCAGGAATTAATTTGCAGCTTGGGTTTTAAAATAGTTTTGTAGAAAACTATATTTATATTGATGAATTTTCACTGGCAATGTGGATTTTTTTTTTTTTTTTTTTTTTTGGTGATTCTGAGTTTATTCCTTTCTGCAAAAATGTAATTTTGCTGTTACTTGATTTTAAAAGTACATTATGATAGTACTTCTCAGTTTTTTTCCTTAGGTAAGTCTTTGGACCTTTAACTGTCACCCATTTAAGGTAGTAACTTAGGGGGGAAAATAGGAAATCATTACATAGAAACTCATTTCTTTGTACAGTAAGCCCTCACTTAACGTCATTGATAGGTTCTACAACTTTAAGCTAAATGACAGATAACGAATCCAGTTTTCCCATGGGCTAATTGATTAAAACAAGATTTAAGTTCCTATGGCATCTCATCTATATTATAAAGCAACGACATTGAACAAACCCTTGTTGCTGTATTTACTATGTGTAAGTGCTAGGCAACATCTACATGCTAGGTATCATGAAGTTTTGTACAAATGAAAGAGAGATTACATTCCTATTGGATTAGTCAGATGTATCCTATTTGGTAAAATCTGTGGTTTTCCTAGAACGTTAACATGTTCCATTTTGGAAATTAACTTCTTTTTATTTTACTTTATATAGGTATTGTGGAAATCAGGACCCCATCTGTAATAGAATCTTATATATAACCAAATTATTTCAAACATTTTAAACAGACTTGTTTTTCTCTAATTTTGCAGTTGATAAAAATGGTGATGTATGCATTTCTATTCTTCATGAGCCTGGTGAAGATAAATATGGTTATGAAAAACCAGAGGAGCGCTGGCTCCCCATTCACACCGTGGAAACCATCATGATTAGTGTTATTTCTATGCTGGCAGACCCTAATGGAGACTCACCTGCTAATGTTGATGCTGCGGTAAGGTGGTCCCATGCCCATCTCCCCTTCCACTTAAACTCAATTAGAACTATAGTATCTCTGTGTGTGTGTGTGTGTGTGTGTGTGTGTGTGTACTTATCTATTTATATCCATTTATTTTTCTTTTGAATCTGTACAAAAATAAGTTAAAGGCACAATTAAGCATCACTCTAAATACTAGAACAAACATCTTTTTAGAATAAGGACACCATCTTATTTGTCACACCTAAGAACATTTAATATTAAGTCCATATTATCATTCCCAAGTTTTTATTTTTAAAACCTGCAGATCTATAAAAAAGTTGCATTAGTTAAATAAAAATTCCTATATACTTCACCTACATTCACCAATAGCGGAAATTTTTTAAATTTTTTTGCCAAACTGTTAGAGAATACTTTACAGATATCCTAATTCTTCATACTTGAATACTTCAGCATATATCTCCTAAGAACATAAAAGCATAGTAAAGCATAGTACATCTATCATTGATGCAGTATTATTATTATTGAATATACATATAGAGCCCGTACTCAAATTTCTCCAATATTGTTCTTTATTGCTGCCTTTTTTTGATTATTGAAAATCTAGAATCTCAGAACCCCCATCATATTTTATACTCATGTTATATTTTGTTTTATTGGTTTTCTTCACTAGTCTTAGTTCATTAGCTTTCTATCCCTCTTTGAAGAACCTTTTATTCTCATTCTTGGAACTTTTGTTAGTATATATGAAAGCAAGGTGATTAAATTTGCTTTTTTTTCTTGAGTTACTTCAAACCTGTATAAAAATTTGGATGAGCCCTGGCTGGTGTGGTTCAGGGGATTGAATGCCGGCCTGTGATCCAAAGGGTTGCCGGTTCGATTCCTGGTCAGGGCACGTGCCTGGGTTGTAAGTTTGATCCCCAGTCATGGTGCATATAGGAGGCAGCTGATCAATGTTTCTCTCTCACATCGGTGTTTCTCTCCCTCTTTCTCGCTTTCTTTCCCTTTCTCTAAAAATAAATAAAGCCTTTTTAAAGAAAAGTTGTATGAGATCGTACATGTGGAAAAACACTACACAGATAAACTCTGTTCATATCTATGGCTTTGCAGTTTTATATTTAGTAATCAAATTGAAGTAAAAACTGGTAGAACACTATTCTGATTTTCTATTTAGTCAAGTATAAGTTCAAACAATGTAAGAGGCGGTAAGAGAGAAGAGGTGAAAGCTGCTTTAAAAAAATCTTGTAAAATCATTTTGAGAGAGAAGTAGTTACTGTTTCACTCTCTACTATCAGCTCTTTTTAATAAGATCAGAACTGACAAGTTAAGTTTTAGTCTTCAAGAAGGAAAAATTAAGAACAAATAAATACTTGACAGTATGAATAGGGAAAAATCACTAAATCTTCAAAACAGCCAAGTCCTGAAATAACAGAACCTACCAAAAAAAGCAGTCATTCTCTTGAGGTTAAACATTTTCATAAGGGTAGAAATAGGCCTTAATATAAAGTTGAAATATGCAAACTTGACCTCACAGACTGTGTACGATTTATCCTTTTTTTTCTTGAAACCCACTGCTGTTTTTTTCTGATTAAACCAGTTAGCTGTCTCATATTTAAATCATAGCTTTCTTGTAAACGGTTGTGTTTACCTTTTTTTTCTCTTGCATTGCATACCTTTTCATATATTTTCATATATTTTTGGTTTGTTTTTCTAATCTCTCAATCAATGATACCTATTCCAGGAAACTCATTTTTCTTGGAGATCTCTCTCCTGGATCCCTCCACTTTTTGGCTCCAAATTAGTTTGATTCAGTCTGTTGCTTGGCTGCTTTCCTTGAATTTTCCTTCCCCCCCTTGCTGTTCTTCTGTATAGAATCATTTGTTTCCTGGATCCACTACCCTCACCCTCAACCCCCCTTCTTTGGTTGACTTCTTTCTTTGACCGTTCTTTATCCAGAGTAATGTTTTAGAAAGAGTATCTGGGAATTAAGTCCTTCCATGTCTGAAAGTGTCTTTTCTTTTTTTTTTTTTTTTAATCCTGACCTTATATACTTTGTTTACAAAATCCTAGGGGAGAAAATAAGATTTCTACAGAATTTTTCTTTAATATTTGTTGTTAGTGATGAGAAAGTTGATGCTAGGTTGATTCTTCTCCATTCGTAGGTAACCTTTCCTTCCTTCCTTTTTCCCCTCCACTCCCCTCTCCACCCCGTCCTTTTCTGGATTTTTGGTCTTCTGAAATTTCATATTATTATGTAAAAATTTTCCATTTCTGTAGTTGATGTATACTTTGAAGACTTCAGCTGTTGGGAATTTTCCTTTGTAATTATTTTGAGAGTTTTTTTATGTTTGGCATTCTGTACTTTTTTGAACTTGTAGCTATAACCCAAATTGATCCCTTGATCTTTCTCATCTAAAATAGTGCTGATTTTGAATTTTCTGTTGCATTTTCAGTTTTAGTTTTAAATACTTGGTCTTTTCTTCATTAATTCCTTTTTCTTGAGATCTCATCACTCTTTAAAGAATTTAACAGTATTCTTGGGAATTCTAATCAGATTTTTAAAAGTTAAATTCTGAAGTCTCTTCCTCTAAGGTCAGTTTTTCTTTTCTGTTTTGAAGACTACTTCATAACTCTTTTGGACTTCTACACAGCTCTCCATTCATGATTAAGAAATGGTAAGAAATGAGGATCTAGGAAAGCAAATTGGAGCAGTGTGTGTGTTTGTGTGTAGAATTTGTTCCTCAAGAGCGTGTGGGTAGTAAGCCAGACATTAAACTTAAGAGAAGAGGTGTCATTTTAAATGCCAAAATGATTACTTTGAGTACCAATACTCATACTAGCAGCTCTAATTCTAGTACTAAAGATAGTACAGTATATTTATATAAAAATCTGTATATCATCATCATTATTTTAGGAAGGTGTTAGAATTTTGGGTATAGGTGAGAGGAAAATACAGACTTTGTAGTTGTTTATTTTCAGCTCCACTTCTTAATAACTCTTCTCAAGTTGACCATTTTCAAACTCTAGCTTCTTTAGATTTCCGTTCAATAGCTTCTTTCCCTCCTGTGCTCTGGTTCCTTTGAGCCTTTCCTAAGGCTGTCACTTTTTCTTCTCTGCTGCATGTTTCCTTACTCTTTTATCTTTTGATCTTCCAGCAAAAATTCACCCCTGTTACTAAATAACTTTATACCTTTAGAAAAAATTCCCGTAAGATCATTTTAATAGGGTCTCAGGAGAACAAAGAGATATACGTGTGTTTTTTTGTCCTATTGAATTCAAAGGTTCCCCATTTATATAAAATGCAAATCATAATATCACCTACCTCGTCATGGCACGGTGAATTCAACAGATGGTGGTTTTGTTAGCTAGATCCTGCTTTGGAATGATCATCTATCAATCTGTCCTTAGCTGGGCAAGGATGACTTGCCCAGTCTCATCTCAGTCATCAGGGAATGCCAGTCATATTGTATAGTCTCTCTAAACCCCTTCCTATCCTTCTGCCCATGGACTTGAGTCCTTTTTACTTCTTCCCTACATTACTGTAATAGCTTAGCTTTCTATCTATCTCCCTGCTCTCAGTCTTAATCCTGTCCTCTAAGTGGTATTTCTAAGTGATTTTTTTTCTTGAGATTGACTTTTCCTCTTTGCCTAGAATTGCCCTCTTCTTCCTTTTACTTAAAATGATGAGGTAATTGCAGACTTTATAACATTTTATCCAGAAAAAATTCAGCCATAACATCTCAATCTCTGTACATGTAGGCATTATAGTTTATCTCATAATTTATTGTAGTTACTGGATTTCTGTGGTGCCTTCCCTGCTTTAAGGGCAAACATTTATTTTTCGGTTTTCTCTTAAAGAACAAAGATTGAAGATTTCTATGGTTTTTGCTGGCTGTAAATGGATATTTTAAAGGCTGGGTATTTTTGTGAGAATTTCCTACTATTTACATGCTAGATAAAATCAGCTCTATTCTCATGTGAAGCCATGTCAGTGCTGCTTTGTGTTACCTTTTCATGTGCCTAGCAGTGATAGTGGTATCATGTTGTTCCTTCCTCTCCCCCCTCCAACACTCTACACACAGAGAAGTAGTGCTCAATATCATCTCAATTTGATGTAATCCACCTGTCTACTTTATATAGAAGGCATTTTTATATCTGTTTTATTTTCTGGTTGCTTTCATCAGGGAGATTTGGTAATCCTTCAAATAGCCTGACTATCTTATTTGTAAGTTGTACCTTTTCAGTATAATATAAAACTGTAAAACTGTTAATGTTCTTCATGATCTTTTCCCTTTTTCAGGAGAATTTTGTCTGTTAAGGTGATTTGCTTGGAGGATTTCTACTCTTTTATCCCAGCAGAGTGCCTTGCAAAAGTATTTTTTGACTACTTTTCCACCTTGTCAGCTTAACATACTGCCAAAGCATTATATTCAAAAGTAAAATTAACATTTGAGATTATAAGAGGGGTTTGCATAAAATCAGTTGATATCACTTCTGTACCTACAGAAAGAATGGAGGGAAGACAGAAATGGAGAATTCAAAAGGAAAGTTGCCCGCTGTGTAAGAAAAAGCCAAGAGACTGCTTTTGAGTGACATTTATTCAACAGCTGTAACTTCACTTATTTCAGGGTAAGTTCATTTTAAAAATCGTACTATTGTTTTACCTTTATAAATGTCATATGCTTTGGGATATGTGATTTAGTTATTTGAGTTACTTTTTCATTGGCTTCAATTTTTAGTGGTGGTATCTAGTAGTTTGCAGTTTCTCAATGGAAACAGTGTAATTTATTTGCTTTTCTTTTAGTAGACCCAGTTGTTTTTAACTAGATATACCAAACTGATTAATATGGTAGCAGTCTATTTCTTTTCAGAAACTAATGATGGTAAAATTTCCAATGATAAAATACTTATTTAAACAGTTTCTTCCATTTTATCTTTCGGTGTACCATCTGGACCACTGTTGAACAATGCAGTTTCTTATCTCTCTCTTCTCATACTGTTTATGATGTATGGTAAAGGATAGCTTAAATTTTTATTTCCTAATTTTTTTTAAGGAAAGATGATATTCTGTAATATAATGGCAAGACCATTAAACATCTGCCTTTCTTGTTTTAATTGGTCTTAAGTCTAGCAAGGAATTAAAGGTAGAAGGTACCCATCTGATTTAGAACAGAACAGAACATGGTGTAGGTGAATTAAACAAAAGTGTGACATTTACGTTTGGTTTCTATTTATAAAAGATAGCATCTACGCAATCACAATCATGGTATATTCCTGGAATGTACCTGCTACCTATTCTAAGAAAAAGAAGTTTACCATTACTTGTTACATCCCCAGTATTCCTCTCCTTTCTTTACTCCATCCTTTTCTTATATTCCCAATTCTGTTTTCTTCATTATTTTATCAAGTTTGTACTCCTAAACAATGTATTGCATGATCTGAACTATATATGAAATTATATATATAACATGCATTTTTTTGTGACTTATTTTTCAACATTATATTATTGAAGTTGGTCTGTGTTGTATACAGCTATATTTCATCTATTTTCACTGTTAAAATGTGGTATTTTATTAAATAAATTATCTCTACTCTTGATTTTTAGTGCAGTAATTTTCCAATTTAGGGTGCTTTTATTTCTTGTTGTTTTTGCAATTATAGAAAATGTGTCTATTCTCTTATGGCACATGTATCAATACTACAAGAGCCTCTGTAGGGTATATACCTAGAGGTGGAATTGTTAAGGGTTTATGCACATCACTTTGACTAGTTAGTGCCAAATTGTTTTCTAAAACATTGCATCTATTTATACCCCTATTGACAAGGATAAGAATTCCACTTGCTCCATATCCTCTCTATCATTTGTTATTATCAGACTTGTGCAAAATTTTAAACTTGGGATATGCAAAATAATACATTGTTATGACTTAGAGCAGTTCCCCTAATTACTGATGAAATTGCACATTGTTTCATATATTTGCCCTTTGATGTTTCCTCTGTGAAATGCCTGTTCTTATCTTTGGACTGTTTTTCTGTTAGGCTATTTACTTGTTTTCTTGTCAGTTCACTTTCTGTATAGTGTCTTTGGATGAACAAAGGTTCTTAATTGTAATGCAGATGAATTTATTACTTTCCTGGATTTTACTTTTTGTGTCTTTTAGTGTCTTCCCTGCCATCAGAATGCTACTGTTATATATTGTTTTCTTTCTTTTCTTTTTTTTTAAATTTGTTTTCAGAGAGAGGGAAAGGGAGGGAGAGAAACATCAATGTGTGAGAGAAATATCAGTTGGTTGCCTTTTGCACACCCTCAACCAGGGACCTGGCCTGCAACCCAGACATGTGCCTTAACTGGGAATTGAACCAGTGACCTTTTGGTTCACAGGCTGGCACTCAATCCACTGAGCAACACCAGCCAGATTATATATTGTTTTCTAAAAGTTTTGTACTTTTCATATATGTACTTTTCATATATGTGTTGAATCCACTGAAATTGATTGGTATATTGTATAAGGTAGGAATTCAACTTTACCCCTTCCATCCCCTCAGCGTACACAACTGTAGACTACATCATTTACTGACAAACCTATCCTTTCAACACTAATATACAACTTTGTTTATGTAATAAAATTATATTTCCATGTATGTGTTGTTCTGTTTCTGACCTTTCTATCTTTTATCAGTTGACTTGTCTATCTCTGAACCAGTATCACTCTATCTTAATTTTTATGATTAAATGTACCAAATGCATAGGTGCAAATCAGAAGTAGGGTTAAAGTCTATCCACCACTCATTCTGTTTTCGTGTTTGATGTCTCTGATTTCTGAAAAGACTCAGATCTGCTTTTAGATCTCCTTATAATAACCTGAAGTGCTGAAAATTAACTTTACTGCTTTTTCTTACCACCAGATATAACAATAACCTTGTAGTCTTCAAGTTTTTCATCTTGTTTATATATCTATCCTTTTTATTTTTGCTGATAATTTTGTTATTATTTTTAGTATCATTACATCTGATACCCTCTCTCACATCTAGTCTCAATGGCCCTTTTCTTTTCCCTTTTTTGACTCTTGCTTTCCACCATCTTTGATTAAGTTGTTAATAGACCTGACTCAGTCTGCTAGTAGTGAACTTCCTTCGTGCATTGCCTGCACTTCATTCTGGATATTCGTCCTGGATACAATTGCCATGTTAGTCTTCACAAAGCTCAGCTCATTGCATTTGTTGGTTTATGAGTATGACAGTATCTTAGGAACAACAAACACACTCAGGGCTTCTTTTTCTTACCCATACCATTTTTCAGTCAGAAAAGGGCTTGGCAACAACAAAGAATTGATGAACAAAATACCACATTGAAGTCTAAATTTATGTGTGATTTTTACCTTACATAAACAGCACTTTATAAATTTAGGAAATTACCAAGAATTTTATATTTACCTTGATAGTATATTATTAATTAAATACATTCAAAAGAAGTGTCATAAACAAATTTTGTATCTTGATATTTTGCTAGCTGAGTAATATACACATCATACATTCTATACAGTTTAACATTGATATTTTGCTAGCTCAATTATATATATATATATATATATATATATATATCCACTTCCCTTTTTAACAGTTTTGTGTGTTATTAAGAATGAAAATTTATGTCTTGAAATGAAAGGTAACACCAAGAATAGGTGACACTGAGCTCATTTCAGTTCTTGTTAATGAATATTTGTTAATTGCCTACTATTTTGCAAAGGCACGGTAGAATTCTTTAGACCCATTATCCCGCCGGACAATTAAAAAGCTGTTAATTTAGCCAGTTACATCAGGCATGAAAAAAGGAAACGTGAAACCACATTAAGAGCTTTAGTGGGAGTAGAAGGAGAGCATGGTTTGGAGAAGTCATCACATGCCTAAATACTGAATGATTAGGGTGGTTCGGACAGAGGTTACACACAGAGTTGCTGGTGAGATTGGAAGTCTCCAGAGTAGGAATGGAAATTCATTTGGTATAGAGAGTAGTACTTATTTGGGCCAAGGACATCTTGCACAGTTTTTACATTGAGGGCACAGAAGGAAGAAACAGATACAGAAATATGCGGTCTGGTTGGCCACAAGGAGAGAGTGAGGCATTACAGACTTCAGAAAGGAAGTAGATGTGGATGGTCACCAATGCCACAACATAAGAAAAAGAATGACATAAAAATCAGTTTGGGGAAAAAGCCAGTGGCTTAGTGATGCAGGGAGAGTTGTTATCTAGCAGTATACTAAGTGGCAGGTTAGGATGAACTGGAACTTTTGGAAGCAGTTGTGTGCAAGCCATTTAAATCATGAACTCCTTTCATTTAAGAACAGTTGAGATTATTTTGAACACTTACTTCTAGTAGTACTTGTATTATTGTCTGTGATATCAAAAAGTGGCTTTTATTTGGAAGCATATTTGTCTGCTTTGTATTTTTAGGGTGTTTTAAAAAGATTAAGTTATGTCCTGGCTGGTGTGGCTCAGTGGATTGAGTGCCAGCCTGCGAACCAAAGGGTCCCAGTTTGATTCCCAGTCAGGGCACATGCCTGGGTTGCTGGCCAGGTCCCCAGTAGGGAGTGTACGGGAGGCAACCACACGTTGATGTTTCTTTCCCTCTTTCTCCCTTCCTTCCCTGCTCTCTAAAAATAAATAAATAAAATATTTAAAATTAAAAAATATTAAGTTGTGTAGCCACATAGAAAATGAATCATTTGCCCTGGCTGGTGTGTCTCTTGGGGCTCAGTGGGTAGAAACTGAACAGTTTCCCGTTTGTTTCCCAGTCAGGCACAAACCTGGTTTGCCTGGTACCTGGCTGGGGGCATGCGAGAAGCAACTTATCAATGTTTATCTTGCACATTGATGTTTCTCTCCCTCTCTTTCTCCCTTCCCCTCTCTCTAAAAAACAAAATTTTTAAAAATCTTAAAAAGAAAATGATTTGTTTTAAAATTTAGAAATAAATGGAACACGACACATTTTGTCAAGGTAAATCCTCTCCAAATTTGTAGGTTAAAGTCAGGAATAAAGTAGGTTAAAGTCAGAAGAAGTTTGCAAGCAAAAAGCAGATACTTACATTATTTCATAAAGACATATAATTAATAAAATCTCAATAAAAAAGGGTGTGATTTTAACAAGAAGTAGATATATTTTAAGGTAGAAATGGGATATACTTACACAAATGTAAATGACTATTTCATATCGGTGCTATTTATGTAGAGTGTTACGCAAGTAATTCATTTTCATATTAATCTTTCACAGAAAAGAACAACAGACTTTTTCTGTACTGGGGCTTTTTCTCTGTTGAGAATGCCTTTTATTCAAAGGGGGAAAATAGATTTTTCTATTTTCCTGCTGAAGGAAGCTAATGCTATTTAAAGCTGGGTCCTCAGTATTCAAAAGGCTGGATTGCCTGATTTTAATTTGTTTAATGACTATCATCAGTCATTCCTGTGGAGTACTTTTCTTTAAAAACCTCACACAGAGACAGTTTTTGATTGATTCTTTTTGTGTCCCTGAAATATCACAGGGGAATGATTACTCAGTGCCCAAGCTCTGTACCCAGTTCTCTTTGAGCCCTGAGAGGTTAGGTGGCCAGGGATTAATTTGAGTATAATATAGTCTTTGGAAAAGCATTTAAATAATAATATCAAAAAGATGCAATACCTATTCTATAACAATGTCTCGAGTTTCATTCAGTATGTGTCACATGTCTTTATATTTTCTAATAAAAAATGCATGTACATATGTGTATCTGCAAATGGTAGGACCTGATTCTGGTGAAGGTGATACATTTCATATTTGATGCATTCATTGCTTTGCTAGGGACCGTTCACATTGATTGATAAACGTCTATGGAAAGAAATTTAGCAGTAGTTTTCTTGCTCAGTTGCTAGGCACATGTAGGGCCACAGATAGGCCCATAGCTCTCTTTCTACCACAAAAGAACAGAGCCTTTTTTTTTTTTTTTTTTTTTAGATTTTCTTTATTTTCAGACAGAGGGGAAGGGAGGGCAAAAGAGAGGGAGGAAAAACATCAGTGTGTGGTTGCCTCTTACGTGCCCCCTACTGGGGACCCTTTGGTTCGCAGGCCAGCACTCAATCCACTAAGCCACACCAGCCAGGGCTCTTTCTACCACAACAGAGCTTTAATAAGGTTGAATTTGGGTGATTATAAGATTGATAACTTCATTCAGGACTTTAAAAGACATACTGAACTTTTAACATGTATAGTGTGAGTCAGATATTTTCATAATTCTAGGTACATTTGACTTCTTTGCTAGGAATTTAAAACTCTTGAATTCCCAGTCATCTTCTATTCAAGTTCTTTGTGCCTAACTGTGTTTGGCACACAATACAGCTTCCTGAGTCTCTGAAACATTTGACTTGAGGTACCTGGCTATTTGAGTAGGGGTTCTCCCACCGGTTCCCTTCTCTTGTTCCTCTTGTACATTCAAAGCACACATTAATATAATAAAGGCTCTTGAAGTCTAGTCATTAAATGACACTAGTGTTTTCCAAACTTTTTGAGCAGGAAGCTCTACCATTTGTTAGCTGTGTAACCTTATCTCACTTTCCTCTGTAAAATAGGGCAATATTCCTTCCTATGGTGATTATGAGAATTATATGAGAAAAGTTTATAAAGCACTTTACACGCTGATTGGGCCATAATCAGCACTCAGTAAGATGGTAGTTTTTATTTAGATGTAGTTATTGACTTCTATAGGCTAATAGAGGACATGAGACCAGAAGATACAAAACAATAGAAAACTGTAATTGGCATGGGGGTCAGTTGTTGTGGGAGGCTTCATGGAGAAAATGTGTTTGGACTGAACTTAGAGAATTGGATAAAATTTACCAAGTTGAGAAATGTGGCAGTCTTAAGTTGTTTCTCTTAATATCGTTAAATATAGCACAAAAGTTAGCTTAAAATGAAAACAAGAATTTGTTTTGAAAGAAATAGCATATGAATAAAAATTTATAATCAATTCTTTTGTGATTTATAAATTTATTATATAATGCTGTTTGTTTTGTTGTAGGTCTCCAATTGAGAAACATGGCACTGTTTTTCCTGCACTCTACCCACCTATTGCTGGACTTCTGTTGTAACAAGTTGGCAAACACTGGCTGGAACTGGGCTGCAATAAAACACGCCAGTATCAATGCTGACAAGAGCCTAACAAGTGCCAACTTACAGATGATTACGCATTTTGAATTCTAATGAACTGTTTTAACCTTCAGGAAGAATTGTAAAGACCTGTACATAGCACAACATGATCCGGATAATATATATACTGTTCATGTACATCCACAAATACACCTTGTACCAAATAATGCTTTCTTGTAGTGGAATAAGAATCGTGTACATTCTAAAAGATTTTAGCAAGTTTTCTTCCCCTACTCATTGTTTCTTATGTTTTAAAAGACTCTTTAAAGCATGTCAGATGAAAAGCAATTAGGATTAAAAGTTTCCATTTAATTTCCTTTAAACCATTGAGGCTTCATTAAACTCTTTTCATTTACTAAATTTTTGTATCTTCTTTGTTTTGACACAGTCCCCTCTATGTTTATCTTTATCTCTTCTATCTGCCAGAAAGTTTTCAAATCACTTAGTTCAAATACTGAAATACTTAATAAGCAGCTACTTGATTTTTAATGATGACTTCAGAGGAGTGGTCATCACTAGGTGCTCTGTCCTTTTTGTATTCCAGTTGCACCCATCACTTGGATTGGATGTAGCAATAACATATTTTGGCTGTTGAGAGCTCTTGAACTGTCATTATTCCCAGGAACTAGAAAGAGTCGGTTCTGAATTCACATACTGAAATTTATCCTAAATTATACAAAATTCTGATTTGGTTTTATTTTTACCCTCCAGTTACCTAATGTTAAGGTTCAATGAATAAAGCATGCACAGCTACAGGCTTTGTACTTCTGGGTTTGCTATTAAAAATGCTATTTTGCCTCATACCCTTCTTCTCAGCCCTTCATATTTCTTTGCCTCTATTCTTCTATACTGCAGATTTTTCTCACTTATTGTACAAAGAAATTGCGATGTATATTTTCATGTAATTTGATTTTGGAATTCTGTCACCTTATGTAGTGAGTTCTTCCAAAATATAATTTTTTTCCAATAATTGTCAAGTTGTTGGCTTTTATTGTATTCAATGAAGGTTATAATACTGAATATCAGAGAAGTTCAGTTTAGAAAAATCTCAGGTTGATTGCTTATGCAAACCAACTTTTAATACTTGAAAATCACATGGCCATGGCAGTATATATTTTTCTCTAGATTCTTCTGTGAATCTCAAAGCATTACAGAGGTGTAAATGCTATGCTATTTGACATACAGATTCTGTTACTGACATAGTACACTTGGATTTTATTAATGTTCAAGCATAAATATATTTCATAATTTTTCTAAAACATTCAAGAAATGGTAAAATAAATGTACAGTGTTAAAGGCAGGTCCAGATTCTTCTCTGTTTAGTGTGAGATTGGGTTTGGGAAGTCGTCTTGGCATATAAGGGCTAAAGTTGATAAAGCACCAAATGGGACATCGTGTTTTAATTGTGAGAATCAGTGACAATTGGTACGTCTCTGGGTAGTTTGGAGAAATACTTTGGCAGAACAGTGAAGGATCCCTGCAAGTAGCCTAGTCCTCTACAAATTGTTCATGTCCTTTTTAAAGCAGAAGTAACATGGTGAAGGATGTAGTTACCACAGTGATTTTTCTAAATTCCAGGCTGTTCTTCACTGAAGCATTATAAAAACCTATAAAAGTATAATAACTAAATGTGAAAATGTTTATATTATTCATTGAGGCCTAATTTCTTCAAGAACTTTCTTATTTTTTTCCCCAAAGACTAAGAAATTGTTGTCCTAAAGTGCCAGTACTGTACACCTACCTACCTGGGACTTTGAACACAATTTCTTTACTCTTAAACCAGAAATTGTTCACATGCTGGTGGTTGTGACAAAATGGAGTCTGAATTTTGCTCTCCTATTGCTAAAATTCTGTGAACTATCTGTTGAGTTAAACCTGGCAATTTGACTATTTAGGGAGTAGCAAATGACCTAGTAACTCAGGGACAACAAACTATTCTTGAACACAAGTGCCACTTCAATGTAGTTACTTCAGTAAAACCATATGTGTTTAGGGCTTAGATCTAGGCGAGTAGAAGGGAGAGCCAGGAATGAATGCATCTCCCTTCACAATCCTTTCCACCTGGTGCCCTGGCCATACTACATAAGGAAACGGGCCTTCTCGATAGTTGTTTCGACTTCTTTTTTCTCTGTCAAAGGTGTCATCTGTGCCTTTCCACGAGTTCATCTGACAGTGTGAATTTAAATGCCTCTATACTTGGTATTAAATCACACTTGGGTGACACACATCCAGGTGGCTGTTGTCCCACCAGTGCCTCGCCATTAGTGTGAGGTGAGTCCTTTCTGCTTTAGGAAAAGGACTTTTCTCCCTAACCTTGTGCCAACTATTGACATCTACATAATCTTATATAGAACTGACTGCTTCCTAAATTTATTCCAAGTTCTTAAGGCTTATAGATTTCAGTCTGTGCTCATAATAGGAATGGATGATCTCAGTGGCTTTTGGCCTCTTCGTGAGTTTAAAATCTATGAGGTTGGTTTTCTTGTCATTATAAGGTAATATCTTTGTGAGGTTATTCCACTGACTCTGTGATCACCTGGGTGCCATAGCATTTTTTTTTAATGGCCTTCATTCTTGGTTGTGAAGTTTTATATGCTTGCTCACCCTCTACAAATCTGCCCATTTTGGGTTGTGGTGCCTGTGTATTTTGCCCGCCTGGTCTCCAGTTGGTGGAATTGCCTTTTTTGTTTGCCATTTCTCAGCATCTTTGAAATTTGACATGATGTTGCTTCATTCCAGTTTTTAGATCTGTAATTTGTTGATTGTACTTAACTATGTGAGTTTTGTTGTGATGTTTACTGTATTGTAAAGCACCTCGATAATGTGATGGGGGCTCTATAAATCAATAAATGATGACTTAGAGGCTGTATTATGAGCTATTTTGGTTTTAGGATGCAGGTCTCAAAAGCAAGTTGTGGGATTCTTTCTGTATGAACAGCACATGATACCAAATGGTTCACAGGGGAACCTTGATAATTTTAAAAATTTCATTTAAAGAGGAAACCAGAGGGTAGGAAGTTAACTTGACTTCCAACCTGAGATGACGGTCTTAAATTTTCAAGTACAGGGCCAAGCACCCTTCTCTACTCAAGAGTTTTCTGTGATGCTGATTTAGAATAAATAAAATGAGGACACATTAGAGCATTATTTAAAATTTTGTCTTTGGTTTAAACTGGCTCTACCATGAAGATAAGCAAAGGGGGAAGAACCGAGACTTGTGAACTGAAAGAGACTACATGTCCCACCTCAATCACCACCTTCCCTCCTTTAAACAGATGGGCACACTTGGCCAAAATACCTGCCCAGGACCATTTAGTAAGTTAGTGGCAAAAGGCAAGACTGAGAATTTTTCCTTTTTTTTAAAATAGGATGTCACTAACCAACTTCTCATCCTGTAACCTTACATGTAGTTTGTATGGCTATACAGTGTTAGGTATTGAAAGCTCATTTGTCTTGATACAAGTTGCCAGTGGCTATTAAGGCCCCTTTCTTCCAAACTCAGAAAAGAATGTGGAGCTGAGTTAAGAAAATCCTTGAGAGCAGTTGGGTAACATTGGGAGTCATTTTCAGAGTTTAGATTCCCTGGTAAATACATTGAAATAAAACTTACAGGAGGATGTGGGTGGTGTTCCTGAACTTAATCAGTTTTATGCATAACCATTTACTCAAAAGTACATAGCAAAAATATTTTGGTGGTTTTTTTGTGGGTTGTTTTTTTTTTTTGTTTTGCATGCTGCTTCAAATGCAGATGAGATTTTGAGTGTGCCTACTCTGTACAAGGCACTAGCTAGGCTTTGAGGAAAGACCAGTTGATTTTCCCCCTTCCCCTCATAGAGATAGGGTTGTTACCACCTTATTCAATTAAAATTTTTTTTTCATTTTCTGGAGGACTGCAAACCTCAACAGGATTCAGTTTGCAGAGCAAGTTAATTCCAGGATAAGGTATTTTTGATAGCTCAGTTTCAGATACGTGTCATCTGCCAAGGCAGGATTAGGCTTTTTGGCTTGTTGAGTCAGCACATCACACTGAGCTGTAGTGAAATGATGAAAGAATTTTGAATCCTAGTTATGTAAGTGGGATAAACTGAAAGAAGGAAAAAATTCACAAGCAGCTGGACAACATCTTAGACATAGGAGCTGCACATAGAGCCATAAGAAAGACATGATTTTTTTGCCCTTCTAGCCATATCCACTAAGAATAAGTAGAATAGCACTTGTGACATCTCATTTATGCCTAAAGAGCACCCGTTCCTATTTTTTGAGCAGTAAGTTCCTATTTACTGAGCTGCTACTTAGTGGCAGGCTTGTGCTAGGTTTCATAAAGGGTCTAACCAAATACATGAGTCCTTCAAAGCAATAGGTTCTCATGAGGAAACACATTCAGATAAATTTGTCAAGACTAAGGCAAGCAAATTTCACAGTGAAGATTCAGTTCCATGACCTCCTTCACGTACTGGGTACCATTACCCCTTACGTTAGGAATATCTTTTCCAAGGTAACAGAGTGATTGCATTGAGGCTGGTACTTGAACCCAATTCATTGAACTACCAGTCTAGTGAGTCCCACCCTCCTCCTACCATGCTGTATTATGGCCTTCGCAGAAAATCTGTTCCCTTGTGCTCTTAAGGCAGTCAGCATTTCATTTGTGTACTTATGTTCCTTGCCTGAGACAACTCCACCATTGTTTCTCTTAATCTGATAGCAAAATTCGAGTTAGGTGTAAAATGAACAAATTTTCAGTGCTCAGATTTTTCAAGATGACTGTATTTCAGGTCATATTTAAAGTTGTAGATTCATCCAAGCCTGTTGGATGTTGCAGTTCACTGAGTACCACAGATGCTTTCATAGGCTTTGTTAAGAAGTCTTATACAAGCTCAATGATTGAAGCCAGTAAGAGCCCACTCTGAAGACAAGGGCTCACAGACAGGGTTATATTAAAGGTGTTTCTAAAAGTGCATTCACTTCTGATAGAGGACTTCTTAAAGGTAGGGTTTGGTGAGGAAGTCAAGCCCTTGAGTTGATTAAATCTCTTAAAGTGAGCCCTCTTTTGACTCTGGGCATCTCATCTGAACAAACTGAAAGGGCACAATTTGTTTATTCCTACCTGTTTGCTCCCCTAAGGGAGAGGGTTTTCATCATATTCTCAGAGAGGATAACGACCCTCCAAATCATGAAGAACCATGGATTCTAGTCCAACGCCCTCCTGAGAATCTGAGATGGCAGTGTAAAACGTGCAGGGACTTGTCCATGATCAAGACAGCAAATCAGCTGCAGAGCCAAAAGTGAACACAGTTTTCCAGACTCCCGGTATAGGTCACAGTGGTAACAACTCATCAAACGTTCTGAACAGCTGCTGTAGGCCAGACGCTAGCAAAGCTGGTGTTAGTGAGGCAAAGGTAAATTGTATGCTGTAAAACCAGGCATCAGTTACAACAGTACTTCCCAACCATTTTGGCATTTTTATGTTGCAACCCAGAAAATATTTGTAGGGTACTGTTAAGATAAAACAGAGGAGGCTGCTTGCGGCCAAAGGAGACTGGCTTCCCTGACCACCTGTATGGCCCCAAGGGCATACCATTTGGCACACTCATAACCCAAGCTTGACAGATGGAAGATTTGAGCTATGGCACCTCCATTGCATCTGGCAAGTACAGTATTCCCCTTCCCTCCTTCGTCTAAGTGCTGCTTGCTCAGTGCAGCTCCTCTACGTACCTCCCTGCCCAGACGACCTGGATGTCTTTAGTCACCCATCACAATTGGGTGACTAAAGATCATTTCCCTGAGCATACACCATTGTTCCTAACATATTTCAATGCCCTTGCCTCTTCCATCTCCCAGGTGTCCCTCAGCCAGAATTTCTTTTTCCTCAAACTTTTAACCTTCACTGACCCTGTGTTTCCATGTTCTGAACTCCAAATTCCTTCTCCACTCCACCTCACTACCCACTAATACTTAATCCTGGCAGCCCCT